AACTTATAGACTACCTTCCATCTTAATTGTATAGGTCGAGTTTCTTTATGCATGTTTACTCCATCAGTTAATAACTTGATTGCTAGAAACTTTGGAGCATATGAATCTTCGAAGCTCACATAATATCTTGGTTCACATATATAACTTACAGTTCCTTGACTTAAGCTACATGTGAAACCACTAATAATCTGTTCATAGAACTCTTTATGTCTAACATCACAAACAAAGCTTAAACATTTAACATTATTACCAAAATCTTGTATAGGAGTTATGTATACTTGTACTGCACCAATACAAATATAACTATAATTTCCTTTTTCTTTATGGTTCTTAATGCTTTTCCAGTTTATGATATTAATTTCTGCTGCTTTCTTTTCACAAACCTCGATTACTATACTTCCTTCCATTTCTTCACATACATATTTAGTTCTAGTTTTAAAGAAAGAATTTTTAAATATTATCTTTAGTAATCTGGGGGAAATTCCAGCTTTCCTTGTTCATTGATTTAGGTCTTTATCTTCAATTGAATATTCAGCTCTTTTTAGTTGACCTATAGTCATTTTACTCTTGTCATCTTCATCATCTGACTCAGAATTTTCTAATACTTCTCCTTCCATCATATTATTTATTTCTTCATAATTTTCATCTTCGAATTCACTGTCTTCAAGTTCTTCATTATACTCATTTTCTTCCTCAATTATTTCTACTATTCCTTTATTATTACTCAAAGCTAAGTCTAAAGCCTCATCTTCCGCTATATCTATGTAATCCCAACTACCTAAGGCTTCCATTAGTTTATGATTAGCTTTTTTACATTCATTAGCATAATTTCCTAATTCTCTACAAGACCAACATTAGCATGTTTTTTTTTTGTTCCTCAGGACAATATGTTGCTTTTCTGAAAAACCTACTAGGTTTTATATATTTATGTTTATAGTACTTCTTTTTATAGGTTTCTCCTCTTGATCTATCAAATTTATTTTTCCTATATTTTGTTATACTTTTTTCTTTCACATCCATAGTTATTAGGGAAATCCCAACAAGTGAGAAATTGTCTCTTCATTTGTTAAGTTTCTGCAACCTCTCTACATTTCTTTTCAATCCACTTTCACTGGAAAGATATTTTGTTACCTAGGGAATCCCTAGCTATATATTTTTCTCTCCATTTTTGATATTTTTCACTAATTTATTCATTAAGAGGATTTAGTAATTTATCATAAAACATTCCAAGGTTTGTTTCATTTTCACCAATTTTATAACAGTATGTTTTAAACTCTATAATGTAGTTCTCAGCGTATTTCATATTACAGATAAATAGATTACTTAATTTTCTTTGATAATCCATTCGTTTTTCATTAGGGTCGGCTCTAGAACCAATGAATTCTAACTCAATGTATTGACATAATTGTCTAAACATTATAGTAGGATATTCACTAGTTCTTAATTCAGTTTTAACTTCTTCATCAATACCATCATACCAGTCTTTTACACAACCATAGAAGTTATGTTCAATGTAATTCAAGAAATTTTTAGAAGTCCATTCAGTGTTTAGGTTAAGTACACTACTTGTGCTCTTTTTCCACTGATCTAAAAAATCTTGTCTATCTCCTACTCCATCTAATTTGACTTTATAACCAGTTTGGATAATAGGTTCAAGAGTTACTTCTTCTTGCTTTACGTTTTGACTTTAGGTATTTGAGTAGGCATAACCTTGACACTAAACCGGGTAGTCTTCCTAGGTATGTATCTTGGTCGTGTACAACTTCCTTCTCCTTGATACCTAGATTTTTGGATAACATTGTTTACGTTATTTATTATTTCTTCTCCAACATCATTATTATCCATGATCCTTTTTCCTAATTTATTATCAATCTTTTGTTGAACAACTTCGATAACGTTATTTATTATTTCTTCTCCAACATCATTATTATCCATGATCCTTTTTCCTAATTTATTATCAATCTTTTGTTGAACAACTTAGATAGGTAAAAAGTCTAAGTCTTCTAGTTTCATTAATCCCATTTGTTGATATAAGTCTTCTTCTAAATTAACATAATTGTTTTATTCTAATTCATTATCAAGAGAAATCCCTTTTTTAGAGATTAATTTCATGATCTCATTTAGTTTATCAAGGTCTTCTTCTTTATCAAATAAGGTTTGTAACTCTTCAATCGGTTTCTCCTGAACATGATGGCTCATTTTTAGTCTCTTTGTTCCTTTTCTTTTCACTAGTGGTTCTTTTAGGGAGTGATATAGAAAACTTCTTATTTTTATCTAAGTTTTGAAAAGGATATTTATATTTATAAGGAACATTCTTTTGCTTATTAGGTGATACTTCTTTGTTAAACTGATGTTTAAATTCCTTTGTTAAGGCAAGTTGTACTTGTTTAACTTGTTCTCTTAACTCACTTAAATTTTTATTAATATCAGATGTTGTTGCTAACAACTTATTTTCTATATTCATGCAACGACAATGTATACTATCAACTTCTACTTTTAGTTCACCAATTTGCTCTAATATAATTAAGTACTAGACCAAAATTACTAGTATTTTCAGGAATGTGATAGTAGTGTTTGAGCTCTGGTTTCTTACACTCAATAGATGGTTGAAAGTTCTCCAGTTTTACTTAGTTAATAACTTACTAATAACTGTATGGCTCTGATACCAAATCGACGATTCCATACAATTAAAAACAATAATGGACAATATTTAATGTCTTAATGACAATATATATATAAGTCTTACTATTTACGTAATTCTTAATTTTATCTTTTGACAATAACTTGTCGCGGAATGACAATATTTTGATATTACTGAGTGACAATAAAATTATAACCAATGATAGGTACAAAATAGCTAATTCAAGTAACACAGACCATATAATATAAGTAATGACAATAAAACTTTTGAAATGACAATGTTTTTTGAGTGTTCAATTTATCCTACTGATAAGAGTTTAGAGTTCTAATACCGCTCTCTATTATTTTTTATTTTTTTTTGTTTTGTTTTTTGTGTATAGATTAGTAGGCACAGCACGTTGCTGGGCTAAGCATTACCCCTTTTTAACATAGTTTTTGTTTTCAATAACGAACATAGATTGTCTACATAAAGCCCAAGTATGGAGCCCCACTATGCCACTACCCCATAAAAGTAAATTATCAACATTTCAACATTACGAATTAATGCAATGTTTTTCGTTAGAAATGTCGACTCATGTTATCATGTTCACTGACCTAACCACAATTTTAACCTGGCTATATGTTGGTAGCTTGATTATGTCATAACACTGATCAGCAAAATCTTTAATTTAATTTAATTTAATGAAAATGATATACGCTTTTTAAAAGCAGCTATTACTACGTCTTAGCTATTTTCTGCGTCCCATTTTGTTTGCCTTGCCTCTTTTTTTTTTTTTTTTTTTTTTTTTTTTTTTTTTTTTTTTTTTTTTTTTTTTTTGGTAAATTGATATTCTAATTTATGTCGTATGTGAGCTCTTTTTAAACTCATCTCTACTTCCTAAAATATCATGATAAAGCTTTTTAATAACAAATTTGTCCTAGTGTTATCCAAAAATTATATGATTTTTCTTAATTTCCATAAAAAATTCACAGTTTAGAAAAGCAAAATGAGATGGAAGGAACAATGTAGAAACAATAAACAGTAATCAATCATAAAGAATATAAAAGTTTATGATTAGTCATAAGGCCATTATAATTGTGAATTTCCAGCTTAATATAGATAGGCGACTTGGCTTAGATTAATCCAAATTTATATTATCTGCTAATTTTTTTTGCTTGAAAATTAATCATGGGAACTAAGCTAATCAAGTCACCTCAATCAATGTGGTAATCCAACCAATAGGAAAAACCATTTCTTTATTATCAACCAATTACTAATTAGTAAAACAATGTCATTCTCATATTATCCACGAGATGACCTAATAATGTCACCAAATATAACCACTTTTGGATAATGACACTAATTTCCATTGATAAAATTATCGAACTCAATTAGGCAAGAGAAAAAGCATTAATTTGAAAATTGATTACTGCCACTGGTTTAATAATTAAGATTAAGCAATAATTAGCAAAGTGATTTAAAATATTCCTAAGAGAAAACTATGGCTAAGCTCCAACACATAGAATTTGTACTTGGAAGATAGAGGACCACAAGTGGTGGCTACTTTTTATTTGTGGCAAAGCATCTACTGTCCAAATACTCCTCAATGATCTTTTATTTTTGTTTTTGGTGCTACCACAATGTTGCTTCTTCATACCACACCAACAAGCAACATGTGATTCATTTTATTCGTTAATATAGACCAATAAATGAAAACATCAATCTTATTGTATCATAGATTCATTGTCATTCGTTAGCTGCAGTTAAAAAGATAGGTCAACTCAATAGATGACCGGGTATGTCAGTGTTCATAGTAATGCTAATCAACTCTATATCACACAATGGTCTAGATATGTCAATGTCTATAGTAAAGCTAAGCATCTTTGTTTAATTGGTCAAAATATGTCAATTAGGACAATGTTAATTAACTCCCTAAATAATAGAGTATGACGATGTTCATATTAATGCTAATTAACTCCATGGATCACATATTTACCTAAATATGTCAATTTCTATAAAAGCGCTAATCTACTTCATTTAGGTGACCGATTGGTATGTCAACTCTACTTCATTTAGGTGACCGATTGCTATATGTCAACGTCTACTTAACCTTTTATATACACCTAGGTGTACCACCCCGGGTGTATATAAATTTTTTCACAATGTCTATAGTAACACTAATCAACTCCATTCAATTGGTCAAAGTAATGTCTCCAGTTCTCCACTTAAATGGCCGAGATATGTCAGTGTAATGCTAATCAGCTGCGTTTAGATAGTCAACAGTACACATCAACATCTACGAAGTATTATCTATTGTACCGCTAGTTGATTAGAATATGTCAATGTCCATGATAATACTACCATTTAATTGGTCAGGATATGTCATTGTAAAACAACTCCCATTCAATAAAGCTTCCAAGAAAAACAAAGAAACTCAGCTGTAGGAAAAACAAACAATAACAAATAGTTGCTAGCTTAATTCGAGGCTTCAAGCGAAGCATCAATTGTCCTCATATACCGTCTAAGAAGTCTTAAAAAAAACACAGAATAAAAGAGGTGGAAATGACTATTATTTGTCTATTTCCACCATAAACTATGCTTACTACAGTCTACAGCCGACGATCATAACACTTCACAGAGCCTGAAGACCAAAAATAACTCATGCCACTCTGCTACTCTCTCTCACATACACTCTATTCCTCTATATAATTATCTACATCTCATCTAATATAGAGATTCCTAAAACTAGGACGACGACTAAGCCCTTCAAAAACGCTTCAGCCTCTCCTTGAATGTACTAGGGTATATCATTACAGAGTCTACACAAATACCGCCTTTGGTGTGGGTGCAATCTATCTGCATCATTGAAAACTTCACTTGGGTAAAACCTTCTGATTTCTTGACCACAAAGTCCCCAGCATGGTAGTGAAGCCACTGCCCTGGACCATCCAGGAAACACTGGGAGACACTCCGCTGCCCTTCAGAAGTCAAGAGCTGGAATCGGACAGGCTTGACATCCCACCCATGGATCTGCTCAGTATTACACAGTTGACGCCCAAACTTCTTGTAGGGTCGGCCCAATTGCAACTTGAAGAATACACTGTAAGTTCCTTCAGGGAACGGGAACTCCACCTCCCCATTTATCTCAAACCACCAGATCTGTTGAAGATAAGCCACTGAAGAGAACCTGATATCATACAAAAGGAAAACTCAAATCAATAAATAGGTGCAAGACTAAAAGTCAAATAAACAAATAAGAAACCACAATAAATTAATCTAACTATCCTTTAGCCAGGTGAAAGGAAGGTGCCAATAAAGCCTAAATTTGTCATCAAAAACCCCAAGATTTGCCAAAAAATTTAACCAGTGGTAGGGTGTGACAAAAGCTTGATATGTGATCCTAGAGTTACTAGTTGCACGTTAAAAAAAAAATTAAGCTCGATTTTTTAGGTAACAGTCAATTTCGAATTCTACATTCACTCGATTATTAATCCTACACAGGATACCAAGGGAACCAACCTCTAGACAGCAAGAGGCCATGGAGAGCTGCATCCATGTGTTATGTGCATGTTGCAACATCTAGACAACCCAACAAGCACTATAAATACATAATAAGGAGCTCAAAAGAATAAAAGATAAATACGCCACATATATATATGGTTCCAAATATCTTCATAGGGCAGTGAACAATCAAAGAGCATGAAAGATAAATAAGCCATATATGATTATATTATACGGTTCCAATTATCTTCATAGGGCAATGAATATTCAAAGAGCATGCAAGATGTATAAGATACATATTATATGCTTCAATATATCTTCATAATAAGACAGTAAACAATCAAACACATATCCTGAGGTATATATACCATGAAAAATGAATAAACAGCAAAGAATAAAACCTACACATCAAAATGATTTCTAGATTTCTAAACTCAATTATCCAACCATTTGAGGCCTAAAGCGAAATAATAAACTTGTATTGAAATTGTGAAAGATTCCGCCTTCATAAGACTAAAAGCGTTTTCCTTGTGGGATTCAGCAAGACTCGATTATCAGGAAGCACAAGCCTAGATAAGCACATTCACAATACTAATCCACCCAAAAAATCAACATGATCCATAGAAAACCACCCACTCCATTGCTTCACAAAAATCCAATGCCATATCAAAGGCCTAACCAAAGACAACACAAAAGGCTTCCAATTTCATCCAATACTTTCACTAAACCGTTATTTCGACATCATGACAAGGAAAACCAACAAGCATCGCTCCATATCAATACAACATCCAGATCCCAATACCAATGCACAAAATCCAACTAAATTTTTTGAATTGGTTTCGAAAGAATCATCCAATACCAGAAAAAAGAGCAAGCAAATATCTTGGGACAATTCACAATCATAATTTTGATAATATCAAATCATATCAAAGTTGTGTATAGCACAAAATACCAATCCAAATCATTGACAAAACCATAAAAACATCAATTTAAATCACATATATGAAAAACACAAATTGCAAAAATTTCTCACCTAGATTCCTGGGTAGCAATGTGGCTCCAATATCTTCGATCATCAATACCGTTTATTGATAAACCCTTAACAGATATCGCCATACAAATTCCTCCTGTACTCTTATCAAGCCACACCATCTGCACAAATCAACAACAAAAAAAAATACAAATTAGAACCCCAAAAATTTCCAAATAAAATCCCAAAAATTCCCACTAAAAAGAAAATAAACCAACCTTTTTGCCATCATCCATGAAATTAACTCGAGATAAACTGGCATAAATCTCCTTTTTACAAGAATAAACAGGAAGGTTATCAGTATCATCATCTTCATTAAAGATTTTCTCAACAATCTGGTGATAATTTGTGGGTAATTTCGATTCCCAAACAAAATCAGCAGATGAGGCCCCACGAAAAGCCTTGTTCAATTTCGCCAAACTGCAAATATCATTCGGGTCTAAATTCATCAACACAGTTGCAACACAGCTTTCTGGTAAATCCCCTAAACCTGTTTTCTTCTGCTGGGTTGACCCGTTTGCAGATTCCTTCCTAAGAGCAGAACCCATTCAGAAAAACCGATAACTGGGTCGATTTTACCCGCCAAATTTGCTTCTGGGGTGATGAAATTTCTCGATCCTAAATTAATTTTAACTTTTAAGTCAAAAATCAAAAAGTTTCAGTGAAATTAGTTTTAGGCCGATTTTAATATTCCCGATGAATTATTTTCTAGGGTTTCGAACTAACTTTCTGGGTTGATTTCATTCAGTGAAATCAAATCTGGGTATGAATCAAATTTCGATTTTGGCAAATCTTCGAATAGTGGGTAGCTTTAGAGGGAGAAAGAAGGGATTTTTAGAGAGAGAAAGAGGGGATTTTTAGAGAGAGAAAGAGGAAGAAAACAAGGGAGGCAGAAGAGTAGCACCGTTGAGGCTGCTGTAAATAGACGCGTAAAAGAGTTACAGAAAAATTAATTTCTTTGGTGTTTAAATAAAGAAAATAATATGAGAGGTTAATATAAATATATATAGAGAAATTGATTTTGATTATTCTTTTAGAAAACGATGGGTTTATAAGTTTATTATTGAAAATGGATTAAGGTAAAGGACATTAAAATGTAACAAAACATGTTATATATAATGTTTTAATTGACAACTGTAAAGCTTTTTATTTTTTTTGGATTTTTTCCTATTTGTGTCTCTTCCAATGTGGACATGACTAGACTAGATTTTTTTTTTCTTTCATATCTACCCGTATTTTTCCTAATATCCATTTTATTTGATTTAATTTGATTCTTGTTTCCTTTTTACTAGGATGGATAAAGATATTCCTAGTCTTTTCCATGTAAAAATTATTTCAAATTTTATTTATTGCCTTTTATCCATGATCCATAAATGACGTAATTTATAAATTGGTTTAATTGAAATATCTTGAATTATTCTCTTAATTTGGAAATTTTCCAATTCTTCATAAGCCAATATTAAAAAGTTTGTTGTTATTTGGTTTAATCCAAAATTAAAAATATGCTTCAAAAAAATCTAAAACTAAAAACATGTCTTATTGTGTTTTTTATGATCAAATATGGACTACATGTAAGTAAGATAAAAGATCTCTCCAGAATAATTGACACGTTAGTCTTTTTGTCACAATTCATATATTAACTTTGACTATAGTTTTTTACTAATATAATAATAAAAAAAATTGTTAGATAAATATTAATATGATTTCATACTATAAATTATTTATTTAATTTTCATCGACATTTAATTACATAAAAATAAGGTCAAACTAGTGCATCGACATATGTGCAAAGTTCGACGGTACGTGTCAATTGTTCTAGGACAAAGGGAGTATAGAACTTTGTAGTCTAGTACGTGATAATATTAAACATTTATAACACCGATCGAACCATTACTTATATAATTAATATGTATTCGATAGAATTTAGAAGATTAAATTCACTATTACAATAGGAAAATCATTATTTTAGGTAGAAAGCTACACGCTCACAAAGCCACAACTTCTATTCTATCTGATCTACTTCCTCCGTTTTTTTTAATAATTGCAATAGTTTGACTTTTACACTGTTCATGTACTCTACTTTGACTAGCTTTAACGATTTATGGTTAAACAAAAATATAGTAATGTGAGATCTTGTTAAATTCGTCTTGATTTCTACTATTTTAATATTTAATGTTTATAATTTTTACATATTCACAATTAAAGATATTAATGATTGAAATAATATATCGGCAAGCATGAAAAGAGAAGTGTTACAAGTATTAAAAAACAGATAAAATATAATCTATCTATATTATTATTAAAACTTATAGGGACAACATGCTAACGCCATGTCTCACCCTTCTTTCAATATGATTTGGTGCCACATGTGCACTACGTGACATGTGTCATCGGCCTTCTTTCATCGCATTGAATTGTACTAAAGTTTGGTCTCTTTAAGAAACTATTTACTTCCTAACTTTAATTCTCTATAATAGTATTGAATTTGCTTGAAAAACTCTTCATATGTAAACCTCTTATTATATTTTCATTTGTTCACTTATTGATAAATTTCAACATTAACCCTTCTAAATTAAATATGATCAAACTTATAAATTTATGATGATCTAGGGTTTTGCGCGGGCCAAAAACTAGTTGCTAGGGTAAATATTCTAAATGGGAAAAAAAACATAAAAGAACGTAGAGACTGAGAGAGTAATTTACAATAACTTTTGGGTGTACTATATCATGAAAGAAATCAATTCAGATTTCCTGTAGATTAAATGTACATAAAGTTTAAAACGGTTTCCTCTGCAAAATTAATGTCAAAGAAGATACACTTGATTAAGTTTTTAAGAAAATACCCTTATTAGGTTTTAACATTCTGTGACATCTCATATATTTTAACAGTATGTTTGATAAGGGTTATAAGCCATAAGGTAGCTATACATTCTTCGTCTTATATATATATATATATATATATATATATATATATATATATATATATATATATATATATATATATATATATATATATATATATATATATATTGTTTGTTTCATTTTGCACGATTTTTAATATGCAAATTTGATGATCATCAGTATCTTTAATTAATATAGACAAAAAATTTGATAATTAAGTTGATTTTTATTTAAACCAAGCAAATCATTAAGATGAATCTAATGGAATGACGGTATTTTTTTTTCTTGGTATACTTCGTATATCTATGAGAAACTTTGATCAAAGATGTTATAATTCAACCAAGAAACAAATACTTTACCAATTTTTTTCTCTCCTTTCACGTCGTGCTTTAGTTTCCTTTAAATTATCACTAATCAACTCTGATCCATACAATGTACTTCGCACTACATAATAGATAATTAAGCTTACCAAGTGTTTGGGTCCAATTTACCTCAATTGGGCCGATCCACAAATGTTTTAATTACAAAGGCCAAATCAAGGTTCAACTCTCCAAACTATTGTCAAAGTCAGTCAAAGTGGCAAGCCCACTTTATTTAAGGTACATTATCCATTGAGCAAAGGTATAAAAGCCTTCAATATTCTCTTTCTACATTCATTCACATTAAGCCTCAAGCAATTAATACTCCTGCATAGCTTTCTCTCTCTAACACTGCACTGACTTCGGCATGGGAAGGGCCTTCCTCGGCACAACCCCTGAGGCCAGTTTACGCATGTTTGCTGTGCAGGAAATCCTCGGCCGAGTCATCACTTGGATTGAGGTCATTCTTCAGCCACAATAAAGGGCCTAGCCGAAGGTCCTATTATTTTCACCCGAAATAATTTAGCGTCGTCTGTAGGGAGTACAGTCAGAAGCAAGCCACAAATCAACCAATCTTAGAAAAAATGACTAAGAGTGGTAAGAGTACTAAGAAGAACGACCATTCCTCTTCGAGGAAAGGTCCAATTCCGGTGAGAAGGAATCCACTTACTCCACCATCACCGGAACCTTCTTCTTCTTCAAAAGCTCCCTCTTCCCCGGAAAGGGCAGCGCCGGAGAAGTCACCATCCCATCATACTCGCCAGCTGACCAGCTCATATCGGCCGAGTCAGTCCAATGCAAAGAGTCCCCCTCAAAGTTTCCATTCTCGGTCTCAACCGAGAACAACTCCTCAAACGAGGCCCTCTACGGAGGAAGTGGCACGAGCCGTCGCGGTCTTCATGGACCTTATGAAAGCCCAAGGAAGCAACTTTCCACCACCCCGTGACCACTCGCCTCTTCTGCCGAGAAACTTGAGAAGGAGGACCGGCCAAGAGGAAAGTAGACGAGCTCCATCCTTCAAGGAGCTCGGGTATAAATGGGAGGAGGACACTTGGAGGACTGAATGGGAGAGGAAAAAGAGCCCCCAATTCTTTAAAAATTTAGAAACCCAGAACTCCCGGAGCTACAAAAGCAGCAACACCACCTCCACGTGGTAAGAGCCTGCTCGCCGGAACGTTCACGAACGTCTCGGCTTAAGGGAGGTGAGCGTGCATAGTCGCTTCACCTACCCAGAGGGAACTGAGCCATGTCCCGAATCGTCTTAGTAGAGGAAAAAAACCACTTCAACCTCTTTGAGAGGGAGGAGTGAGGTCCCGTCGGCTAGACACAGGGGAAAGGCCGTGATGGTTCCCACCAGCTCACCCTTTCAAAGCTGGATTTTGGGAAGAACATGTGCCAACTGTGAAAATCCCGGCACATATATATGATGGTACTTTGGACCCGAAGGACCACATTGCCTCTTACGAAGGGCACATGTACCTGAACCCCAGGTCCGAAGCGACCTGGTGCAAATATTTCCTGACCACCCTTAAAGGTGTTGCACAAGCGTGGATCACCAAGGGAGTAAAGGAAGGCTCGATAACCGGTTGGAAAGACCTTTCCAACAAGTTCAAGAGCAAGTTTTCTACGGAAAACCGCCGGGAGAAGACAACTGCAGAATTGATGAGTCTGCAGCAAGGGGAGGACGAGAGCCTCCGAGACTATCTCACTCGCTTCAGCATCGAGTCGTCCAGAATTACAATTCTGGACCAAGGGCTAGCCGTTTTTGCACTGCGAAACGGCCTGCAGGCTAGAAAGTACCTTGACTTCATGGTCATGCATCCCTGTAGACCTTGGAGGAAGCTTTGGATGCCTCGGATAAATACATCCGAGCCGACGAATAGAACAAAACCAAATTCTAGTCTCAATCCGAGGCTGGCAAGGCAAAAGGACAGCAGTCCGAAAGCTAGAGCCAGAGGAAAGGGAAGGCGAAAGCCTCAGAACCATCCTCAGCTCCTGAGCCAAAGAAAGAAAAAACCCAATTCATGGGGAAATACGAATCATACACTTCTCTCGTCCTTCCACGTGCTAAGATTACAGCATAACAAAGGACGAGCAGAATTACAAGAAGCCGAGGCCACTACCATCGTGGCATCAGCAGAAAAACAAGGACCGATGGTGTGAATTCCATGAATCTCATGGACATCACACCGAGGATTGTATTCAGCTGAGGGATCAGATTGAGGATATGGTCCGAAAAGGTTACTTGAAAAAATATCTCGCGGACCGCCGAGGAAGATTCTCGGCAAGAACTGGACTTCCCCTAGAAAAAAGACAAGCCGCAGGACAGAGACAATCCCGACATCCTTGTCATTTCTGAAGGAACAAGCTCTCGAAAAGCATGAAAACGTACTTGAGGGGCTTGACCCATCAAGTGAATGATGCTGACATCCGAGCACCCCAGTCTCCGGTGCCGAACTTCACGTTCACAGCCGAAGACTGCCGGGGGGTGGCATACCCCCATGATGACCCGCTGGTGATCATTACAGGGATCGCAAACCACAACTTCTAGCGAACTCTCGTCGACGCTTGAAGTGGTGCGAATATCCTCTTCCGGAAGGCTTATGACCAGCTTAAGTTGAGGACCAAACACTTAGCTTCGATACCCTACCCGGTATCTGGATCCAATGGGTTTATAACTTATCCGGATGGGAAAATCACTCTTATTGTCACCATCAACAGAGACCGAGCAGCCCGGAATATCATGGCCGAAGTTTTGGTCGTCCCCGAATTTTTTGTCGTGGACGTTCCGTCTGTATACAATGTGATTATAGGGAGACCCATAATTCACGAGATCCAAGGAGTAGTCTCAACGTACCATCAAATGATAATATATATTTCAGACGAGGGACACTCCGAAAGGATTCAGGGCA